GGAGACTCTCCAGAGAAACACCCCCCCCCCCGGCTCCCCTCGGCCCTTCTGAAGTCTCCGCTGACCCAGCCTGGACTCCTCATGGGGGGCCTTAAGGGAGCTTAAAGGGGCATCTAGTCCACCCCTCCAGGCACATAGAGAAAGGGGGACTGTGGTTGAGAGTCATGGGGGGGGAAATGAAGTCCACACACATCCTGAACACCCCCCTGAAGCTGCAGCCCCCAAGACTGAAAATCTTCCCCTCCCTCGCCTTCTCCGCTTCTATTGGGAGGGATTTTGGGGGGGTCTGAGTTGCTCCTCCAAAATCCTCCTTTAGTGAAGGGGACTGGAGCCCCTCCCTTTCAGGTGGCCTTGGGGGGCTGCATGGGGTCTATTTGGGGGGGACAGGAAAGGCCTTGAAAAACCATCCAAAGGCAGAAAGTAGGGCTGAAGATTAGGGGGGNAAGTTTCCCCTGCCCAGAAAAACTTCTTTCCAGAATATTATACCAAATATTATACTTTTTCTGGGGGGGAGAGGAGGAATCCAGCAAAGTCTCTCTCTTGCCCAGTACATAGATATATTTCAATAATAATCTATACTATATGCTATATAATATTTCAATATATTTTTATTAAATAATATTTATTGATTTACTTATCAACTTTTAAAACAGTCTCTCTCTCCCACAGGCACTTTGCATAGTATACACATAAAATATAAAACCATCAAAATAGTCTATACAATTTAAGATTGAAAAGGCAGGAATGATTAAAATCCATTGATAAAAGTTCATGAAAAGGGGGGGGCTTCAGGAGGCTGACCGGCCCCACGGCTGCCTCCTCCTCTGTGCCCCCCAAGCAAAACCCCAGAGCCCCCTTTTCACCCCCTTCCGGAAGGCCAGGAGTGGGGGAGGGGCTCCCTTCACCTCTGGGGCCTTTGGGATTTTAGGATAAAAAGTGAACTTCCAAAGGTCTGGAAAAGGGAATCAGGGAAGGCTCTTTCGTCTGCTGGGCCCTGTCCCTCTTTTAGTTCTTTTTATTCTTTATTCAGAGTCATCCAATTTTGGGGGTCTGGGAGAAAAGCCCCCCTGGAGACCCCCCTTTTGGTCACAGACTCACCTCCACCTGCAGCCGAATCGCTTCCCTCTTCATATCTGGGAAGGTTCCTCATTTGGGGGCAGAGATTCAAAAAACCCCCACAAACATTAAAACTGAATTTTGGGCATTCATTCAGCCCTAAAGCCTTTTATTGTTTAGTTCCCTGTTCCAGATCCCTGGCAAATTACCTACATTTTTATTTGTTTATATTATTATTATTTATTTCTATCAACTGATAAGGTTTCATTGTGCAAAACAAGTGTTTCATCTGCAGTTTTTGCCATTTGTTGTTGCCAGGGTCTCCCAAAATAATATCTTACCAAAGAATTAAATAAGATCTTTCTTCCACAAGAGAAAAAACCGCCAAATCCCAAGAGAAAAAGGCATTTTACCAGAAGACGCTGGGCATCCGGAAATTGTGGAATATTTAAGGGGAACCGACACAGATTTTGTTCTCCGCATATTCAGTCTGGAATTCATTTTTACTCCTAAATTCTTCCCTGCAAACCTAGGAGGATAATTAACTGTTCATAAAAAAATCCCAACCAGATCCCAGGATTAAATTACAAATAACCAAACCTTTAAAAATTGCATGTTCTTAAACGTTATATAATGAGCTGTTCATCAGAGAATCCCTCAACGGAGAAAAATGTTGTTAGCAAAAGTTCTCTGAGCTGGAGTGGATCTATGAAGGACTCTCTTGGGGGGGGTCACTCAGCCCTCCCCCACATTAATCCATCCAAGAGTTGTGCCATTTGCTGGAGGAGGAGATCAAGAGGGATCCCTTCCAAGGCTCTTCTGTGATCCTGGGATCTGCCTGATCTCCTCAGCCACCAACTGCCCCCACCTTCCCTTTCCCCAAGATCCTCTCCCCCCCCAAGATCCTTTCCACCCTCCCTGTCCGGAATGGGGCAACTCAGTGCAGGACAATTCAACAATTTTATTCAATTATTTAAAATAATTTTAAAAATGTTTTTTTTTTTAATTTTTGTCCTTCACATTTCATTTCTTTCCTCCCTCGGCCTCCTTCCTTTCCTGATTCTCTTTCTCCATTTCTTCCATATTGTGTAACTTTTGTGCTGCATTGAGTTGGCTGAGTTCTCCTAGACCCCTCCCTGCCCCCCCATCCCAGGGAGGAGGGTCAGACCCCTCGCCACCTCCTTCCCTGGGGGGGGAATGGGGCTGGGAGGGAGGCCAGACGGCTGCAGGGAGAGGTTGGGGGGGGACCTGGGCAGAAAAAACCAAAGGGTCAAGTACAGATTAGGCGAAATCTGATTCAAAATCAGGGGGTCCCAATGGGGAGCATCACACTGGAGGTAGTTGTTGAATTAAGAGGCAATCCCCCCTCCCCCCTCACACGTCCTCTTCCTCCCCATTTTTTAACTATAATTTTATTTTGATTGGGAATTCCATTTTGATTGCTATAGAAATATTTATCTGTTAGGATTTTAATGCTTTAATGCTGTAAGCCAGGGCTTTTCAACCTTTTCACTGACTGTACCACTTTTAGGATACAGTATGGCAATATTTGAGTACCACCTAGCAAGGTGTCAAAAACCTGACCAAAAAAACAAAAAACAAAAACCTGTTCAAAGTTGCAAATGGCCAAGTGCTAAGGCGGGACTTCCTTCCCTCCCTCCCTCCCTCCTTCCCTGCCTCCCTCTTTCTCATTCCCATCTCCTTCTGAAGGAAGAATTTGAAAACCCCCCCCTATTTCCCCTCTTCCATATATTCATTGAACAAGGAAAAGCCTCCAGAGACAGAAAAGACAAGCCATTGAGGGAAGTAGCTTAAAAAGGCGCATTCCCCTTTAAGAATTAGCTACTGGCTAGAAAGGAAAGTTAAGGAGCGCAGTGGGCACTTAAGGAAGAAAAATAAATGTAGTAAGTATGGCTGCTGGCTAAGGCAGCCTCCCCAAATGGCTCCATTCATAAGTAAAGGAATGCTACAGGCAAAATCCATTCAGGAGAAAAATACTTCAAAATCCCTTGCAACAAAAC